AGGGTTACACTCATCTTAATCATAACCCACTTGTGAACCACAAGTAGAACCCAGCCGGCCCGCCTCGACCATTGCCAGTTCCACCTGGGTGGCATCTGCTAGAGCCTCGCGGGAAGAGGAGCAGCGGAGCATGGGCTGAATCATGGCAGATACCCTCTGGTAATTTAACATAGCTATTGAAAATTGCCATTTATAGTGAGTTTTCCCATGAAAAATTGTGATTTTCCATAGTTATGTATGTGTACCAGAGGGTAATCTTGGTGAGTCGGATAGAATTTTGGCGAGTTTTTCGAGTGGTTGAGTGAAGTAGGAGACACTGGATTCTATCAGCAAAGATGGACCTGTCCTGAACATGTTCCATTCAACCAGTTCTTGGATGTCTTACTCACAAAATATTCCAACAAATTGGTATAAATGGAATATGTCTGCAAAACAATCACCATAATAAAATTGGATATTATGTGATATTGGGCATATAAGTTGGATATTATATCATGCCCACCGTGTTTCTCAGCCCCTAAAATAGATAAAATAAAATGTCACCTCGAGAAAATGGGAAAAAAACAACTTAAAAACTGGGACGGTACTGATGACACAATGTGGTGCCCCCCAGTTATAAGTTGGTTTATAACCCCCATTAACTCGTTCGTTATATCTACCATAAACCATAGTGAAATTGGAGTAATGTTCACCAACTTAGCTATCGAACTGGGACACCACCTTGCATCTACACTGGTACATACCAACGATCTGGATGGGGAAAATCATCCGCAACCAGTTTTTGTTAGGGGTGAGTTCCCCCTTCATTTTCGAAGAAAGCCAGGTCAATAACAAGAAACTTGGTTATTCAGTATCAAAACATGCATGATATCCGATATCATGCATCTAAAACTGATTGCCATTTTTTTGCCTGGTTGGTGGTTTCAACCATCTTGAAAAATATGAAAGTCAATGGGAAGGATGACATCCCATTCATATATGAAATGGAAAATAAAACTCATGTTTGAAACCACCAACCAGCTATTCATTATTCACTGTAAATAGTCCTTTAAGCCTTAAAGATACTCAGAATTTCCAACCAGTTGCGAATCTACCATTTTTTCCATACATTTCAGACACCCAGCCGCACGTCCGACGCCTGCTGCACCGCTTGCTGCGCTTCCAGTGGATTCGACGTGAAGACGTCAGCGCTGAGCGTGGAGACACTCAGGCCTTAGAGGCGCGGGCTGGCGCTGAAGAGGTCATGGACGTTGGTGTTTTTTGAATGGTTGTTTTATATAGATTTATATCAATGGGAATTTCAGGATCCTAAAATGGAGGTACTGTACCATATAAGGCCATATTTTGTGGTGATATTCACTTACATAGGCCTTATATAGGCCTTATATCTGGTAGGTATCTCCATTTTAGGATCCTGAAATTCCCATTGATTATATGGGGTTAATGGTGATCTAATGGTGATTTAATGGGATTTAATGGAACTGTCTGGTGATTTACCCTATGGTTATTTAACATAGCCATGGTATAGATGGCCCATAGAAATAGATGGTGGATCTTTCCATGGCTATGTGTTGACTTACTGGTGCTTAGCGGGGAATGGATAGGAATGATCCATAATCACTAGTAATCATCATCCCAGCAACCCCCAGCAACCCATCCATTCCCTACGTTTAGCACCAGTAAGTTGAAGGGTCGTTTTTCATGGGATTTCACGAGATGTTAATTGATTTTACCCTCTGGTAATTTAACATAGCTATTGAAAATGGCATTTTTCAATGGGAAAATCCACTATAAATGGTCATTTTCAATAGCTATGTTAAATTACCAGAGGGTAGGTCTTAAGGTGATCTTAATTGGAATGTAATTGACAAAAATTGTGATTTCATGGGATGCAATGATGATTCAATGGGATTTGAGGTGATTCTTCACCAAAGATGGTGCAGTTTCTCAATGTTTAACAGAGTTGACTCAATATGATTTAACTTTGGCCAATAATTGTAGGAATGATCAACATTTAATGATGGATGTTATTTTGCTGAAAAAAAGACCTGTATAAAAAAAAAAAATGTTGGTAGTATGAAGTTGAGCCATCCCAAACATATGCTCGTCAATTGGGATTACAGGCGGCGCAAAAAAAATGAAATCACCAACATTCAAAAGATTTCAATATTTTACACGACCCACACATGAAGATACAACTTGATACGACCAAAAAAGTTTCAACAAGTGCTGAAACTTAGGCAGGGAAAACACATACCAGAGATATGACAGACCGAGGCTACCAATGTATTTCGTTGACTTGAGACCGTCCATTCGTGCTGTGGGGGCGAGCTAACATTGGGATGTCCCAACTTGATCCTGGAAACCCCAAAATAGCTGGTAAATGGATGTTCATCCCACTAAAATGGAGGAAAATCATGCCCATATAATTCCATATAAAAAAGCCAGGAATGGAGGATAATAGCCCAAAATGGCCCATTCTTGTCGCTTGACCTATTCTAAATGGAGGATGTCATCTCCTGGACCGCGCATTTCATCCTGCTAGACCCACCCTAACCCACAATCTACGTTGATATGTTTCTGGGACTATGTGGATGTATGTGTTGTAAAAAAAACATGTACGCACACATAATATATATATGATATATGTAAATGATATGTAAAAATACTAAATAATAATAATAGTAATAATAATTAATATATATATATGTGTGTGTGTGTGCAAGATTCTACATGCCCACACGCACAATCACACATACATAATGCATAATACGGAATGGAAAAATCACATACGCTTGGGCTCCGCACAACCTTCCAATATTTCCAGGATGGGTTCCTGCACTGGTTTTCACCACGTTTTTCTGGGCCAGGACAAACGTGACAAACGTGACAAATCCGACATTTTTTCCTGGTTGGTGGTTGACCTACCCCTCTGAAACATATTAGCCAACGGGAAGGATTATCCCATATATGAAATGGACAAAAATGAAACCACCAACCAGTTTCTATGTTTATGTTGGTTGACATTGACAGATGTTTATTCCCCAGTCGGTACTGCCCCTAGATGCCCCCAGCAAGCGGAGTAGCCATCCCACGGGGATGGAGACAACCACCTCGTGAACTAATGAGTTGATTGGGTATGATGCCTCATTGCGAGGATGTTTTTCTGCCAAGAAAACGGGTCTTCTGAAGCAAGCAACGCATACCATCCACACATTCCGTCAGCTGGTTGCTGAGCCTCCTGACCCAGAACAGTTTTGAGGATAGCTTCGCAAATCTTCCGGGCTGCACTTTTGTTTTTTTGTGGCAACTTCAAGGTCCTGCTCCCAACAGATATTGACTATATTGTAAAGTAGCCTCTTCTTGATGTCATGGGGTTGAGTCGAACTCAGTTGCTTCATCCGGTGTCTTCTCAGGCTCAGCCGCTGGCCGCTGTGCACGGAGCTAGCTGGAGAAGGACTTTATGGGCGATCACGCGACGGGCTGTTGAACCGCTTCAGGACAGGAGATCACGCCGATCTTCCATCAGGTCTATATATATTCTCTGAATGAATTGGAATTGCCTTGAATTATGGCCGGTTTGCATTATATTTGGGGTCCTAAGGAAACCCCATTCTGGTAATTGAGGTCTTACTTGGATGAAGATCCCATTTTAAGGGTGAACACACCCGAATACAACCCCACTGTGGTTCCCAGTGTCAAATACCCATTGATATCCATGTATCAATCGGTGACAGGAAAACATCATTGGGCGAAGAAATCTGAGGTCTGTAGCGCTGAGGTCAACTTTGATGGATTTTGAAGCACTTGCAAATCTTCAATGGAAATGTGTGTTTTTTTAGCATCTACTTTGGGGGTCTAAAATGGATAGAAGATACAGTAGATACACTATTTGTTTTCTCTAAGGCACTTAATTTGGCGTCAAAATTAGATCTGCCATCTTGGAGTTGGGATCCATTGGAAATCCTGGGAAATCTATCTAAGCCCGTCTTGGGGGGTTCCATCTAACTCCTTCAAAAACTGCGAGGGCTTTTTGCAATACCAGATCAGGGAGCTAGATGGAGTTTTATTTGAAACCTAAGTCTATGTCACTTGAATGTGAAATGCAGATCTGAAAGAGTGATGATTCAGCTTGCTATTGAACTTGGGATGAGTGGGCAAGTATTTTCCAAAATCTCCACTTCACATTTGGTTGGCTTAGCTGGTTTGCCAAGGGATTGGAGCCCACATCATCAGTTATTTGTAGATACATATGATTATAGAATATGATTTGTTTGTATGGAATTGAATGGTTGCAGTACTACCTCCAATTTGACAAGTTAGCCAGCGACTGCCCAACACTATGGCTCAAGGTGACACAATATTTGTATATGTCATATATATATATGCATACCTTTCATAATGTATATATATATATATACATATATAGTATGTATATATACATATATAGTATGTAGATATATATACATATATAGTATGTATATATATATATGCCTACATAGTATGTATATATATAAATATATGCATATACATATACAGTATATAATATATATATATATATGTATGTATGTACAGATTTTCCACATACAAACATTATGACCTCCATGGCTCATTGCCATGGCATTCACTGCAGGGTATTTTCTTGATGTGCTTGAAATCATGGTCCAATGGCAATCCACATTAGGATCGCTTCCAGTCTCATATCCAGGTGGCTAGGTTCACCGAAAATAAGTGATAAAAGGAAAACTGTTTTGTTAAGTGGAATAAAATGACCACGCAAGGCTCAAGGTCCTTTGGAAACCAATTGCTAAAAATCAAGCAGCAGAATATCAGGATCAAAATCAAATGCATTTCACCCAAACTTAAATGCATTTCCTTTCTGGTAGTTGACATAACTATTAATAATACCATATTCATTGATACTGTATATCATTTACCTGCTGAATGTTACTGTAAACATCGTGGCTTTCCATATCTATGTTGGATTAGACTATCAAAGGGTTTTGTTTAGTGTCAAAAAGTCTGGTTTCTTCCAGATTCTTCCGTTCCCATCCACACATCAACACCAGGGTCACCAGGGCAGTCACTGCCTGAGTGGTGCTCGTTGTGCTGGACAGATGGCTGGTGGAGGTCTTTGAGGCTCTGGTAATGCTGGTGGTCATTGAAGTCGTCGAGGTAACGGTGAAGGTGCTGGTGGTGCTTGTGGTGTAGGTATCTGGCAGATCGCTGGGGTCTCTGGCGAATGGATGGAAAATAATAAGTTCAATAAATAGTATAGCAAGCTGAAAGGGGTACATATGCCCAGCGAGATTTTCCGTCACGTTTATGAGGTCAACTCAAGGAAGGCGCCTGAAACCTCCACATAGCCATGGAAAATCATCACTTTAATGGGTACATCATCTATAAATGGCTCATTTTCCATAGCTATGTTAAATAACCAGAGGGTACATCTATATACCGTTAATCCTTGATCATGTCCGTGACAAAAAAAACATGTTTCAGATGTGTCTCAGTGAAAATCGCCCCATCCTCAAACCAGGTTTTTTTTTGTCTGGGTCAAGTAAACCCATTTCACGTAGATTGATGGTAGGCCGATGACTTGTCCGCTGGGCAAATTACCCTCTGGTAATTTGTTACATAGCCATGGAAAATGACCCATTTATAGATGGTTTACCTATTAAAAATGGTGATTTTCCATAGTTATGTTAGTTTACCAGAGGGTAAATCAATTTATCAAAACAAACATCAGAAGTATGAGGTGGTCGGTCCAGAAGACCGTATTTTCCCAGTCAGTTTGACTGACCCCTTCATCATAAGGGCTCATAACCACTCATAAGGGGTACCACGGGGTAGTAGCAAAGGACTGCTTTGGTTATGAAGATTTATGAAGACTTATGAGTTGGAAAAACTTGTCTTTTCATTGGAAAAACTTGTTTTTTTCATTGTGCTGAACCCCCAAAAGTGCTCAAGAGCAGTTATGAAAGGTTATGAAGGGTTATAAAGGGTTATGAGGGGTTATGAGGGGTTATGAGGGGTTATGACGTGTTATGAAGCGTTATGAAGGGTTATGAGGGGTTCTGAAGGGTTACGAGGTGCCATGAGTGTAACAGTTTTCACAACATTTCAGCCTAAGTTGAAGGGGGTATGTCCCAAGGGGGTCGGTCCAACTCCCTCTGACTTTGAAAAGACGTATGCATATATATATATATGACTATATATATATGTAGACCTATAGATAGATAATAGGTAGATAGATAGATAGATAGGTAGATAGATAGATAGATAGATTAGATTAGATTAGATTAGATTAGATTAGATTAGATAGATAGATAGATATAGAGTATATCAGCCCGTCTAGATTAGATAGATAGATATAGAGTATATCAGCCCGTCGGCAAGTTGGAGGGGTAAGGTCACCATTCGCCACCTGCAATCAGCCCCAGCAGCCCCTTTTCGCCGCCTTGAAAGAGTGGAAGCAGTTTTTGGAAGTTTCCCTGCCCGCGGGAGAGACACACACCAATGGCTTTGAAAAACATTGAAAAACCATGGGCATTGGGTCGAATTTCTAGGTCTCCCAAACTCAGAACTTCCCAAAATTTGGATTGTTTACAAATCACTGGTTGGTGGTTTCAACCCCTCTGAAAAATATAAAAGTCAGTTAGGGTTAATCATTCCCAACATATGGAACAATAAAACATGTTCCAAACCACCAACCAGGGATTGTTTGCAAATCAACATGACCAACATCTGCAGTCCAAAAGGGGACCATTTTATGACCAATAGCCATGCAAGTCAATGCAGAGGTGATCTCGTTTAGATGCGGTTCCAACAACATCATCACATTGGACCTGTGTAGCATTCATCATGTACACACCAGAACCTGTTGTTTTTGTTTAAACGAATAAAGGCACCTACGAATTATAAAGCCCCATGGCCCAATCTACCAGAAATCAACAACTTATCCGCGATTTCAACCTAAAACCATCTTCCCCAAGATATATTTGAGAAGTATTCTCTCAAGATTTCCCAGCAGATTCCCTTTTCCATCCCATGAAATATCCCGGGAAATCCCGGGAAATCCCCTGGTGCCTCCCAGCTAGAGATGGCCAGGGCCACCGTGTCCTGGCTTTCTTGTTGCACGGCGGAACTTCAATATGATATGCCATATCTCTAGATATATATATATAGATATAGATATAGATATAGATATAGGTTTATATATGCAACATAGATATAGAAATATAGATTTAAAATGATTTAGATATAGATATAGATTTTTTTATATATATATATATATATCATATAGCAACCCCATAATAGATTTAATAGATAGAAAAGTGTAAAATTTGGAACTGTGTGGTATTTCATCGAACTATCACCTGTGAGTGACCTGGGGTATTTGTGCCGAAACATGCCACTTACATCATACGAACATCACACATGCAATGACTGCACATGCTAGAATTGTTCATACTACAACCTTGATCATGTATATATATATATATAATGAATTCTTCACTCAATTTTCCTCTATCTTTAAAAGAACCACTATTGCAAAGGTCTTCGAATTACTTCAATCCACTTTCCCCAGCCGGATTGTAGTTCGCGCATCATGAGTTGCAACTGCTTTCATTTTTGATGGGTTCTCAGCAGAATCAAATACATGTTGTGGAAATGCTGGTTTAACCTGAAATGTGGTTGAATATCCAGAACCACCATGGTTCTCAGGTTTCTTCTTGAATTCTGAGTAAATAGGCGGCTTCAACACGTCCAAATACAAGTCGCGCACAGATGCCCTACAGTTGACCAAGTTGGTTTGTAGGAATCATGAGCCCAACTATGGTGGAGTATGCTTCAATTCATACAAGATGGTGCCCACAATTAGCTAAGTTGCCTTGTAACTAGATTCACTAACTAGATTCACCAAGGTTTGTTGAGAGATGTTGAGATTATAACTGTAGTTCATTGGGATTACAATCCAACTTACTCTGGAGGCACCACCGTGTGATTGGCGCGGCCCCCAAAAAAAGGTCCTTGGGGATCGCTGTATACCCAATGCGCAGCATGTACCTGCAAGGACGACGGTCCCATCTGGTCGCCAAATACATGTTAAATTCAACCCATGCCAAACCCTGATTTGAGACCAAGAAATTTGAATTATTCCCCACCGATGTATATATAAACATATATATACCCTGAACCTGATAGACCCCTAAATTTAGGTACCCAAAAAATAATACATCCCTGGATTCAAAAGATCATCTTTTGGGTAAAGAACCGTATTTTGGGTAAAAGACCGTATTTTGTAAAAGGTTGTTTTTTGATCATCCCAAAAATTCATGTTGATGGAAACCCAAGATTAAACCCTCCAAAATGGATAATAAGATATGATACGATATGATAAGTTAAGATTAATTCTGGGATGTCCCTCCCAACAGGGGTTTCACAACCTCTTTCCAGCCGCCACGGGATCAGAGCGGTTTTTTTTCGACAACATCGAGTTCGATCTGGCTATGGAGGCTTGGGCCTGGGCGCCAGGGTTGAGATCAAACTTGGGAAACCTGAGTAGATCCCAATAATAAACTTGGTGGTTCATCCTACTTAGTAAGTAATTGCCCCAATGATGTAACCCTGCTAATCCTAAATACCCTTCAGCAATATTTTATATATTTGGCGCAATACTTACTAAGTAGGAGGAAACACCAAGTACCCCAATATAAATTAAATTATTGAACGATTTAGTTTACGATGGGTTTATGATGGGCATTAGGGGGTTTACATACAACTGTTAGCTTTTTAGTTAAAGAACTACTAGGGGAACCAACATGCAATCTTTAAATTTTCTGGTGAACATATTTCTATTAGTGTACATGTGCACTGGTTGTACATAGATAGATCACAAGGCTATCAGTTGGCACCTCCTTTTGGGGCATCCTTTGTGCTCTCACATGAGAATGGTTTCATCATTCCTTCAAATAGGATTCTTTTTGGGCACAAGCTGTCAATCTCTTCCTGTGGTGCTGGCGCCATGGCAGCACCTTCCGTAGAAGGTTTAGCTGAGGAATGGGATGCCTGCCCAGCCGTTAGGGAGTACATGAGGGTGAAGCGGACGCTTTTTGCTCCAGAGCTTCGCAAGGATTCCCCTTACTGCAATGTAGCTTGTGGAGAGCGGAACTTCGAGGTGCTGAAGCCCCTTGCAATGAGGCTACGCTTGGAAGATGGTTCAATAGGGCAAATGAAGGTCCCAGACCTCATGAAACAGACTTTTGTCAGAAAACATTTTTTTCCAGGGATCAAGTTTCCATCAGTGATTTCATCAGTTTTTTGTTTGAATGGGGCAGCTTCTTTCATGACCAGCACCTGGCTTTTGAAATATGATAAGGATCAAGAAACTTTACGAGCTGATGACCATTCCACATCCTGCACTCAAAGAGTTGAAGAAGCAGGCCAAGCTAGCAAAAGGCTTCATGGTGCTCATCAAGAAGAAACTCAATCGTGACCAGCTTTGCCGCAGCCATGTGTTCAGAAAACTCATGGCCCTTGTCTATGGGTTGGACCAAGAGGACTGGTTGGGCCAACTCTGGTGGCAAGCCTTTTGTTGCTGGTTATGGATATCTTGCCATTCATTGGTGATGGTCAAGTTGTTGTTTCTCAGTATTCATTTGACATTGATTGGACAAATTGGATTCTTTGTGAATGGTTTTGGGCACTCTCCTCTTCTTGGTAAGCTTTGTTTAGCACCTGTGATTCAAAATCTTGTGCCCATTTCCAGGAGGCTTCCAAGAGTCTTGCAGCTGCCGTCCCGGAAGATCCAGATTCTCCAGACACCATTGACTTGGATGATGTCGACTCAGATGCTGAATGTGAACTTGATTCACAGCCACACCCGGTGCCAGAAGTTGAGGCTGGCGCTGATGATGAGATTGTGAACAAGGAGTGGGATTCACCAGCACCAAGAACTCCGGAAATTCCGAGTTCGCAGCTTGATCTGAGCCCTGTCCCCATCAGAGGGCTGGAGATGGAAGAGCAGGCTGACAAGTTGGTTGTCATTGAGGATAGCCCATGCAAAGCTGATCCCACCTCTGAATCCAAGAATGAGATCTCCATGGAAATCAAACGTCTTCAGAAGTTGCTGTGTGACGCCAAGAGGGAGCAGATGGCCCGGATCTTTGGATACATGTTTATGGGCAAATGTTTCCCCTTCTTTTTCACATCATTTTCACTGACCCCACATGCGGTTGACATTTTTTCCACCAGCTCATGCCACAGCTTAGGAAAGCGAAAGAATCATTGGATAAGGTCGCAGTTGCCCCTGCCTCCACTGAGCCTTTCTATGTGATGGAAAGCTTGCCATTTGGTGGTGACGAACTGGAGACGCAGCCATTGGCTCCCAAGGAGCTTGACCTCTTGGCTGGCAATTTCCATTCAGAAATGCCTGATCTCCCATCTGCCCCAACTGCAACTTGTCAGCCGGTGTTTTGAAACATGTTCTCAGTGAACTGGGCTGGGATTATGGCTGGATGTTTGCACCACTGGGATCTATATGGGGTCGGTCAGGGGAGGGATAGATAAAAACTTCAAAGCCACATTCGGCTTGTCAAGCTTAGAGGGATTGATCAGCTTATCCCTGTCTTTCCATTGCCTGGGTTTGCCTCAAGCTTTTGCATTGACCAGGTCCTTCGGCGTGCCCAATTTGCTTTGAAGAACAAGTTGGAAGACGCTGATGTTGGCGAAGAACCAGCAGCAGCTCCGAAGGCCAAGGCGAGGGGCCGACCGAAAGGTCGTGGCAAGGCGAAAGCCAAAGCCAACTCAGTGGCCCCAGAGCCTGTGGCTGCTGAAGAGGCTGCTGAAGAGGCTGCTGATGAACCTGACCAAGATGGTCAGATTTCTGAGGTTGCAGAGCTCATGGACAAGACGCTCAAGCTTGATGCTTCGTCGGAGAAGCCCGAGAAGGTTCCCACGGACATGGATTGTGGCGATGCTGGTGATAGCGTACCCTTGAAGCCTGAGAAACGCCCCAAAAGGAAGCAGGCTTCTGCTAGCAAAGCTGCTAGTGCCAGTCAGGCGGAATCAGTTGGCAATGAAGATCTTGTCAAGCCAAAGAGGAAAAGGGCAAAGAAGGCAGAAGTTTCAGGAGCTGGTGGTGATGAGAATGCTTTGCCAGCTGCTGCCCCTGAGGTGGAGGATGCTTTGCCGACCAGTGCGCCTTCAAAGGCCACTCGCAAGCGAAAAGCCAGTGCAGACAAAGGGCATGAGAAGAAGGAGAAGGGGCATGAGAAAAAGGAGGTGCGATCTACAAAGGGTGCCGCCAAGGACTCGTCCAAGGAGGGCAAGACCAAGGAGAAGAAGGACACCCACACCTTTGCCAGGAGGGTTCAGCCTCGCTCCAAGTTTGGAATGGCGAAGTGGTCCGCACTTCGCCGTGCCTTTGTGCAATTCATCAAGCCGGCTGTCCCTTTCCCATCCAAGCATGAGGACATTTGGGATAAGGGGGCG